TCCCGGCCGGGACCCCGCCTGCTTCGCCCGCGGCTGGAGGCTGGACAGGGTCTACGGGACGTGTTTCTGCGACCAAGCCTGTCGCCTCACCGGGGACTGCTGCTTCGACTACGACAGGGCGTGCCCAGGTGGGTGGCCAGGCCGAGGGTGGGGCGCCGGTCGTTCGCCTGCAACCAGCGGGCACAGGACAGGGCGCTGTGCCAAGGACCTCAGCCCCTGAGCCAGGTGTCCTCCAGCCCCTTCCCTCCTGGCGTGCCAGCCCCTCTATCCCCACCCATCCCCACCACTGCCATCCAGGTACGCCTGGCTCCATTCATCCTAGAGTCTCCCAGTCCCCTCCTAGACAGCGAAGTGTCCTCCCCACAACCCCCAGACAGAGCAAAGCCTGGATGGAAGGGCTGGATCCCGCTGTTCTCCTGGAGGGGAGCCGGGTGACCAAATCTCCGACTCAGGAACTCCATTTGGATAGGGCCACCTCTGGCTGGCACAGATGGCACTGACAGATAACGGGCATGTCCCTGGGCCAGGCTCCACCATCTTCATTCTGTTAACCCTCGGGGATCTTTGGGGCTGGTGAGGGGTGATGAGGGCAGGATTGTATAATCTTCCCACTTTGTGCCAAGGGCGTGTTCTGGGAAGGTATTAATACTTTCTTCTGAAGAGCAAGGTCTTAAAAAACTGAAGGTGTCCTCATCTCTGGACCCCAAAATGTAGCACAGGCTCTTTTTCCTAGGAGGTGTACAGTATGTTCTTGGAATTCAATTTTCTCTATACAGCATGACAAGGATTGTATCTCGAGGTCCCTATTATGTTGTTATCTTGCTGGTTTTCCTTTAGGGTCAGTCTTTTTCAACTTTAGATTTCCCACAGTATCTCACAGTTCCTTGCCCCTGTAAGGGCTCAATAAAAACTGGTTTAATTGACTTAAAAGATAAAGGAACAAATGATGAGTACAGCCCTGAGGAACAAGGTGTACCTGAGAGAAGCCAGCCATGGAAGTAGAAGTCGCTCTGCTCCTGTTAATCACATCATCCCCAAAGCCACACAGATGTTAGGGTTCGAGCTGAAGGATCCCGGCCTGTGGGATCCTCAGCATTTTCTGGGGCTATGCCATTCCCTGGGCAACCAGATACCCAGTGGCGGAGGGCACCCCTCCTGCCTCTGTGCTGTTTGAAGAGGGCTTCAGCCGGCCGCCAGGCCCGATGCTGAAAGAACACACTTGAAAGCATTAAGATTTTTTGACCCTGGTTGAAAGCTAATGATTTACCTGTGAATATTGATATTCTTTTTGATAGTTTTTTGATAAGCTTCTTTCCCTTTCTGGCTGCAAGGCCAGAGTATTTTACTACTAAAGTAAGATGGAAGAGTCAGCTATTTAGGAAATGCAGCGCCCTTGAGCCAGGTGTCTCCAGCCCCTCCTCACAGCATCCTAAACTGTCGGCCTCATTTCCCTGTATAACTCAAGCAAAGCCTCTCTCATGAGGGGCTTGCCTATGTTTTAAAGGTAATGATGGAATTCCTGTGGCCCAGTTAGTGTCCCCTGATCTGTGGTAAGCGCAGGGAGAGAGAAGTGATGAAGATTCAGTCTCTGCTCTCTAGGACTTTCTACTCTAGCCGGGAAACCTGTGCAAACCCCTGTTAGACACACTTAGCACTGAAATAGGTGATCCAGGAGCTGACCTGGAAGGGAGCACTTAAAAGACCCAGGGAATTCAAGGAAGACTCCCCTGAGGAAGTAATGGGTGAGCCTGGACCTGCAGAATGAGGAAGAGGCCTGCCGGAGGAGGGAGAGGCAGGCTGTAGGAGGGAAGCCCAATGTCACAGTCCAGCAGTTACTGTGGACGTCACCTGCTTGTGCCAGGCCTTGTGCTAGGCCTTGAGGCCAAAATGGTGAACAGGACAGATGCTGGAGGCAGCCAGATCTGGAGAGATGCAGGCACATAAGAGGGATGAGGAGGAGACAAGGCGAATGTCTCGAGAAGAACTTGCTTTCTAGTGAGACCTAACAGTGCTCCCAGGAATTGCAAAACCCTCAGTCTTTATTTGGTCAAAAAGAAATTGCTTATTTTCGATCTAGGCGGTAGAATAGTGTGACAAAGAGCTTATGGTTTTGGAGTCGGGATTTAGTGGCTAAGTACAGAAGCGGTGAGACGGCCTGCTGTCTTTTGAAGCTCTCAGAAATCACTGTAAGTGTGTGCCCCGGAGAAGAGCTGTGAGTTGGCAAAAAGGAGATAGTGTCAGATTGAATTTTAAAAGGAGCATATTCTGAAGCCCGCAATACCCTGTGGCAGAGTCAGTAGAGGACCTTGCAGGCCTAGAAGGAAGCAGGTGTGGGACTAAAAAGCTCTGTGTTGAGAAATTCTCTGTGTCTGAAGTTTCTTGCAAAGGGAGGAGGAAAATAAAGACAGTTGGAAGGTGGCCACTTGGTGGGACTGAGTCTGCCCCTCTGAGGGTGAGAGCAGAGAGCCGGGAGCTGAGAGGCCCGGCCTGCTTAGCCCTGGACCCACGCCACAACCATATGGACCATGGCTCCTGGCCTCCTGGGCCCAGAGCTGACCTGGCAGCTGGAAGCTGGTTTGGGGCAACTCCTGGAATGCAGCCTTTCCTCTCACAGAGTCTAAGTCTCAAATATTTGTTTTTTATTTGTGATTTTTTTTTTTTTAATCCCAGAAGTAACCTGAATGCCTCAATTTTGCCTCTAAAGTCAGAATCCCGGGTTCGACCTTTACCCTGGTGCTGTTTGGCTTTGTGACTTTGGAAAAGTCACCCTCGTGGGGCCTAAAGCACCTCATTAAAGGGGAATGAATGATACTGCCAGGCAGTAGTGACTCATGCCTATAATCCCAGCACAGTGGGAGGCCAAGGCAGACGGATTGTCTGAGCTCAGGAGTTTGAGACCAGCCTAGCCAACATGGCGAAACGCTTTTTCTTCTAAAAAGACAAAAATTAGCTGGGTGTGGTAGCGCACCTGTAGTCTGAACTACCCAGAAGGCTGAGGTGGGAGGATCACCTGAGCCCAGGAGGTAGAGACTGCAGTGAGTTGCGATCACGCCACTGCTCTCCAGCCTGGGCCACAGAGTAAAACTCTGTCTCAAAAAAAGGTGAGGGCAGGAGAGATGAAACCACTGTGTGGGACTGTGGAGTTGACAGAAGGAGGCTACACTGCACCTGGCTTGTGGTAGACATTTAGGTAGCAAATGTACTGTCGGTTGGCTCTTAGCACTAGTGGACAGCGGAGAATATTTTATTTGATTAAATATTTACATCATAATTTTCTGACAACATGTTGCTATAATTTATATTTGTTAATATTAAATCATAAACACATTATATTCAACTCACACCATGTGCCAGATACTTAATACTTTGTCTCACTTAATCCTCCCAACAATTTTTTTTTTTTTTTTTTTTTTGAGAAGGAGTCTCATTTACTCTATCACCCAGGCTGGAGTATAGTGGCGTGATCTTGGCTCATTGTAACCCCCGCCTTCCAGGTTCAAGCGATTCTCTTGCCTCAGCTTCTTGAGTAGCTGGAATTACAGGCGCCCGCCACCATGCCCGGCTAATTTTTTTGTAATTTTAGTAGAAACAAGATTTCACCATGTTGGCCAGGCTGGTTTCAATCTCCTTACCTCAAGTGATCCACCTGCCTTGGCCTCCCAAAGTGCTGGGATTACAGGTGTGAGCTACCACGCCCAGGCATCCCAACAATTCTTAAGAACAGCAGGTCAGATCCACAAACCCATATGACAATCCCAATCTAAAAAGTGTTAACATTTTAAAGTTTTTTCATAACTCATTTGGTGGCAAAAATCTCACCTGACTTGCACTGATAGAACGATATTGATAATCTTTGTTTATATTTTGCGTCAAAAATATTAATATATTTTTCAAGGAACTGCTCCAGACCCTGCTAAGGAGAGGCGAACACTCCAAATAAGGTACATAGACTGTATTCCCTTTCTAAGATCCGGGAAGTCCTGAGTTCTGAGACTCAACTGTCTCAAGCATTTGGGAAAAGAACCTGGTGACCTATACTAGTATTTTTATAGACAGAACAGTTAAGGCTTTCCAAGGGTTTCCATTACTCAAGTTAACACCAATGAGCAGAGCTGAGATCTGAAGTGCCTGATTTCAGACTGCCAATTGCCACATATATTTGTGCCAATTTATGGCTATTATTTATTCCTGGATAAATCAGGTTTCAGCATCTCAGAACCCTCAGTTACTCTATGCCCATAGAACCATTCTGCCTCTTAGAATCTCTTCTTCTCTCTCTCTCTTTTTTTCTTTTTGAGACGGGATCTAATTCTGTCACCTAGGCTGGAGTGCAGTGGTGTGATCTCAGCTCATTGCAACCTCCACACCTCTGCTTCACAGGCTCAAGTCCATCTTCCCACCTCAGCTCCCTGAGTAGCTGGGACTACAGACGTGTGTGCTGCCAAGCCTGGCTATTTTTTGTGGAGATGAAGTTTCACCATGTTGCCCAAGCTGATCTCCAATTCCTAGGCTCAAGCAATCTGCCTGCCTTGGCCTCCCAACATGCTGGGATTACAGGTGTGAGCCATGGCGCCTGGCCCTCTTTTCCTGCTTACCCATTATATTACCTATTGTTGCTACCTAAAGCCTTTTTTGACTGATATTACATTCAACGTGAATGGAAAATGTAACTGAGTCAGTATAACTAAGCATGCTTTACTTCTATTGCTTCTGATTTTTTCATCTTGATAAATGCAGTATTATTATTGTTATTATGTGGCTAAGAGATTAAATACTGGCATTTCTTTTTCTAAGTAAGAAGACTTTTTTTCTCATGTAAAAACTAAAATGTTGTTGAATCTATACAGTTACTAAACTGTCAAATACATCTGTTCGGGAATGATCTCAGGAAATCTCATTACGACAATGGCATGAGTTTCAACACCAAGGGAGCATCACGGCTCCCTTCCTACCTCCACTAAAAAAGGGATGGAAAATTCTCCACTGGCTGTGCCTTACCAGGGATGGGGAAAAGTAGAGTAGGGGAACAGATCCAAGTTACCCTGCCCTGGAAGAACTTCTTGGAAGACTTGCTAATGAAGTGGGTAACACCCCCAATCTCTAATTCTCCAACTGGGCTCCTAGAGTT